TTCCCTACGCCCCTTTCCCAAGACAAATCTGTTTTGGACATCATGCGTGCATGCATGCTGCAGATTGTAAAGCTTTTGCTTTTATTATCCCAGCTGAACGCTTAAGCTTTGGAGAGCTCTCTTTATGCAAATATCCTTAGAAGTAAAGTTACTTGGGAGAAACACTGAAAATGAAACTCCAGCAAAACTTCTAAAAAGCCTGTTGATTTAGGAGTAGGTCTAGATATGTCAGCCTATCCATCTTGTCCCCTAGTTTAATCTTGGAGAGAATAGCTTCAATTTAGAAACAGTGAAATTCAGGATGATGTTGCAGGATGCTGTAGGTAAGGTATGTGCACCTTCTAAAATTCACAAAGTATGGTTGTGTTGGAAGCATGAATGAACGTAGATGTGAGGCTGGGGGAGAACTGATTGAGTTGTAGTACTTGTTGTTTGTTCCCAGCTTTGACTGGATGCAAGTATACAGGCATAAACCCTCTCAATGTACCCGTTCAGAGCCTCTTGTCATCAGAAATTGGTGGTACTGGCAGAGCTCCTCTGACATAAAAGTACTGAATGAGGGCAGCATATGAGAGCCCACTCTGAAGCCTGTTTTTTCAGAAATAAATAGCTGTGTCAAAAGGTTAAATCTTGGTGACAATGACTTCAAATTTTGCATTTTAGCATTGTACAGAGCAGTTGAGCTGTGGCCGTTTCCAAGTATACTTGTAGTGTACGCTAGAAGTGCACAAGTGATGAATGTCTTCATTTCCTATCCTCATTCAACCATTCAAATTGCACATTCAATTTGTGAGCGTTCCCTTCTTCCCCCACTTGGGTGCATGTGCATGTGTGTTCACATATTCATGCGTGCACAGGTGCACTGCATGCTCACGTACTCACTCATAGTGCCTGTACCTGTAGGACTATGCCATATTCTTTCCATTCCAATTTGGCATTATTTGGGAACAGGAGAGGATAAAACATGCTTTTCAGCAGACACGTGGTTGGTAGGGCAAGGGAAAGTAGAATAAATTTTCAGCATTTGAGGTTTTCAACTGCATCCAGAATTCACCAACTCCTCCTTAATGGAAGTTAAGAGCTGCTGGGAGTATTAAGTCATTGAACTGTCAGTGAGGCTGTTCTTTGACAGCTGACAGAGTGGAGGAATGAGGTTTATCCAGCCAGCCTTTTATTCTTTCTAAATCCTCTGTTTAAGTGTCTGTCAGGGTGAAGCGCCTATATGGAGTGGTGCTGTCAAAGCCAAAACTCTTCTTAGCGGTCCTTCCCCTGCCCGCAAATAAAACAAACCTGAAGTGATTATCTAAAAACTCAAGTTTCTTGCAGCTTTTTCCTTCTTGCATTCCTGTCTGGAGAAGAACTTCTGCTTTCATAGTGTTTGCTGTGAAAATATTAATTGGTCTTGAATGCCTTCTATTTTGGGGGGAAAGGGGAGATGAGGGGAATGATAAGAAAATTGCAGAGTAGGAGCAATACGTCATGAGGCCCTGGAGAACACGAGTCTTTTGTGAATGAGACAGGAAGAGTAGTGTAACTGTAGGATCTATGGGGACTTACACCAAAAGTGGGTTTAGGCCACCATTAATAATCTATGCCTTGGTTGAAGCAGAAGAATTCTGTGCATTTTTCTTTTTATTTTGCTTTACTTACACTGGAAGTGTGCACTTATGTTCACTGGTAGTAGGTACTACTGACTTAGGTAAACAGTACTTTTATGCTTGTGCATTACCTAATACTGCAGAAACTCACCATCAGTATCACTAGATACTCTAGTGTCTGGTGTGTATTGATACCCTCGTTCTTGCTAGATGCAAGGACACTGCATGCATAATACTTGATGTTGAGAGATCTTTTCTGCAAGCTGACATAGCAGCAGCCAGCTTGCTTAATACAATTGTTTTTATCCTTTGCATCTGAAATCCAAAACTGCATGCGCACACAGTTTGCGCAGCAGTTCTATTAAGATGCTTTATTATCTTGGCTCATTGGTGAGCTAAGCCTAAGTTTTAGCCTTGGATTGCCTTCTCTGTCCCAATTATAGCTTCAGTTAATTGTTTCTAGGAGGGCAAAATGCCAACTAAAACATAAAGCAAGTAATAAATATAGAGTGCTGAATACACTTACAATGTAAAACCCATGTGATGAGTATTGGCCGAACAGCTGGAAAGCTAATCTTTTTTCTGAATTATAGTAGACAGCAAGACAGAAAAATATTCTAACACTAGTAAATAAGTATGCATTTCCTCTGTGGTGTGAGGTTCTTGCTGCAATCTTTTTCCTTTACTATCTCTGTAGTCTGGGAGAAAATAGTCATGCGACTGCCTTATCGCTTTTAGGCTTTGGACAGTCAGCTATTTCAGATTTAAATACAACAGCCCCATTCTTAACCCATGAATTTCAGGCACTCCTTTTCAAGCTTGAGGTATTCCAGCTTCATAGCTGTACACCATGTACTTCTCTATTCAGACCATGAAGCTCTTCTGATCTACACATCTTTGACTCTTAACCTACTTAGTATTTATTATGCTGCCTGCTGAAATTTACTGTGTGCTTACTGGTGTGCCTGTGGCCTGTGCCAATGGTGGTAACCATGCCCCCTAGTTTTGGTGTGCAGGTGGGGGAGGTGTTTGGGTTTTGGGTTGTTTTTTTAACATTCTTAAACCATATTGTAGAGACATGATGGGATGGTTAAGTGTCAAAAAGAAGGCATTTCAGGATGGGAAATGACCTCTTACCCTGGAGAGAAATAGGGAAATAGGATGTCTCTGGTCAGTCTAAAGCTAAAGAATAACCAGTCTTCTGTTGCTCCAGGCTGCTCCAGGCATTTGAACAGGCGCAAAAAGTGACTGACTGGACTGAAACATGGTGGGTTCTTGGGGCCAGGCCTAAAGAAGGGAATGGTTTTCCCCAACAAGTTCTTAGTCCTGATTTTTCTGAAATAGTCTGACTAGACCTATGAAACGAAAAGTCTTGTTTGGAAATGCAGGCCTAGGAGTACTTGTCAGACTGGTGCAAGTCTGAGAGCTGGAGTCCAAGTTCCCAGTCCCCAGGTCTTGTAAGAAAAATGCATATTCTGGCACTTGGCTTCTAGCTCAGGTGCTTTCACAGACTGGATGTTAGAAGTTAGCCGTACCTCTGAATACTCTCTGGCACTTCCTCCTTTATGCTTGTAGTTCTAACCTCTTTCTTCTGGGTTTCCTCTCCTGCAGAGCCAGACTATGAGGTGTTTCTGAATGCCTCTAAGACACCCAGGTTTTCAGATGACCCCACAGAGCTGAACTGCAGGATCACAAATGCACAGGACACCGAAGCAAACATCCGCTTCACAGTTTCCTGGTACTACAGGCAGCGCCTGCGCAGTGACGATGTGGTGACAGAGGAACTCCTGGCCACGATGGATGCAGACTGGACTCTGCTGCTTGGGGACAGGAGCAGAGAGCGGACTCAGAATGGGGAAATAATCTTCTCTAAAAAGGCTGTTGACACCTTCAGTTTACGAATCCAGTGGACTTCAGAAAGTGACAGAGGGGATTATTTTTGTGTCATCTCTGCATGGAATAGGCACCGCAACAACAGCTGGGTAAAGAGCAAAGATGTGACTTCTGCATCTGTCAGCATTTTCTGGGCTACACAAGGTAGGAACCTTGTACCTGTTTGCTGAAAGACCTGGATAGCTGAGATAGTTTTCTCTTGAGTAAGCCCGTTGGCCAGTAGGCCTGCTAATAGGCTTTGGAAATGGGGTTTTGTGTTATGAAGAGGAAAAACACTGTTGCCTTGTGTAAAGGCCTCTTATTAGGGGAGGAAAGTAACTCTTTAACAGCACTCACCAGTTTCATGGAACAGTTTGGAGTAGAAGTGCAAAGCAGAGGTATGTCAATCAAACTGTGCTGAGACTCCTGGGAGCTGGGCTGTCATTGTGGCAGGGGTGGCATCCAGCAGTGATGCTGGGGTCATTGCCCCCTTTCGTGACTCAGAGTATTTTGGTCTCTCTAGGATGCATCTTGCTGCTAGCAACAGGGTTGTCTTGAGGTGAAAAGAGAAATGTCACTCACTTTGTCCTCTGTCTACCAGTTTGAGAGTTGTTTTTTCTCTCTCTTATAAGCCCATGTTCAGAAGGCACTTCTGAGGAAGCTTGTGGGCATAGTAGTATCAAAAAATAAGTGGGTGGCAGAGCAAAGTCATTCAGTGATTTGCCTGGATCTGGGCCTTTTTTAGGCGGAAGTGAACTAGCTCTAGTCAGTATTTAAACTGACTCTGGAAGCATTTCTTAGAAACTAAATAGTTACCTCAATCACTTAACACTGGTTTAAAATGGGTATATGAATCCTGTGTGTCCTGTAGAGTGATACCATTTTGGCTTAGGTGTAAGGTCATGCAAGAGGGTCTCCTGGATAGGGACAGAAGGAATAGGATAACCTAGGATGTAATGCCTGACAAAAATCTGTACTTAGCTAAGTGGCATGTTTCCTGTTAGATTTGTTTAACAGTGTATCTCAGGCAGTCACAGGCAGAGAACTGTATTTCAGAGACAAGTAGTTTGAAATCAGTTTAAAGTTGTTTAGGGACAATTCCTAAACAGCAAATTGGGAAGCTTCTGCTGTGATTCTGCTTCAGTGGAGAGAGAAATGGTGGGCTGCTTGCTCAGTACTCCCTTCATCCCCAAACTAAGCACGGTCCATGAAAAGGTCATTCTTTTTTTCACTGAAGCTGGCTTCTCCAGCAGGAGTGAAATCTCTCATTAATGCTGAATGTTGGTCACAATTAGTTCAGTTGTTAGGCCACAACACGAGTGTGTGTATATGTGCATGCACGCGTAATGGATTGTTGCCTTTGCAGCAGATAGAGAGACCAGCTGGAGTTGAAATGTCGCAGCCTGTGTTGACATTTCTGAGGGAAAACAAATTGTGACAGGTGTGAATATTCCCTTGTTTCTGGTTTTATTCCAAAAACTCTGCTAATTTTGCAACACAAATGTAAATGTTATAGTCCCTATGCTGAAAAGTACATTTTGTTGGCAAAACTTGGAGTTGGGGGATTTATGATGTGAAAGTGAGCTCTCCTACAAACACCTTCTCCTCCTGAAAAAGCGTGTTATATGTATATGAGGAGGGGGGCCAATATATAGGTTTGATTTCCCTTTCTTCCCTTCCACCCCTTACCCGCCCCCACTCTCCCCGCTCTTTCAGCAGTTTAGCCCAGCTGCCTTTCTCTGTGTACCCTGTCCCCTGCCATCTCCTGTTCGTGTGAGCTTCAGACTCGGCTGTGAGCCCACTGCTGTAGCCAGCAACTATGAAGGAGTTAATCTACTGCTGCCTCTGCTCTCTGACTGTTGTTTTGACAAGTATCTCTGGTGATTTGAGTCCCTAACTGCTCCCTGTGCTTATAAAAGCAAGCAGCCAGGCTCCCACGTGTTTGCCCAAGGAGAGAACAGAAATTTGCCTTTTCCTTGGATAGCTTGTGCCTACACAGAGGCTTTTCTTCCAACTATTTCATTACTTGCATCGTCTGTGTTAACTTAAGAGCAGTGCTTGGGGGGAGGACTTTGGAGAAATCCCACTTTGGAAAAGGTTGTTCTGAGTTTTTGAGAAAGGAGAAATGGTTTTACGTTGTGTCTAGGTCAGTCAGCACAGAGGGGTGTTCAGGATAAGGAAGCCTTTGCTCAAAATGTAAGCATAATGTGAAGATGTCCAAGTTCTTTTTGTGTGTGTTGTATAATAAGTTGTATGCTTGCCCATTTTAACTTAAGGCTTTTTATCTTCTTTTTCTCTTTTGTTCTGTTGGGACCTATAATGCTCACATGTCTTTCTGCTTACTCAGCTTTGCAAATGCAGCCAATCATTATCATAGATCACTGTTATTTTTGATGTTGTCTGCCTGACTTGTTTATTCCCCTCTTTCTTCTACCCTCTTCTCCTCCAAGGTGACAAAGAAAGCATCTTTATCTCACCTCAAAAATGAAAAGCATCAATTATATTGTTATTTTTTTCTTATTTAGAGTGCAAATTCCAATCAGTAAAAAGGGGTAAAGGAGAGGGGATCGAGTGCACCCTCAATAAGCTTGCAGATGACACTAAACTAGACGGGCGTGTTGATCTACTTGGGGGTAGGATGGCTCTAGAGAGGGATCTGGACAGGCTGGATCAATGGATTAGGCCAATGGTATGAGGTTGAACAAGGCCAAGTGCTGGGTCCTGCACTGTGGTCACAACAACCCCATGCAGCGCTACAGGCTTGGGGAAGAGTGGCTGGAAAGCTGCTTGTTGGAAAAGGACCTGGGGGTATTGGTTGACAGCTGGCTGAATATGAGCCAGCAGTGTGCCCAGGTGGCCAATAGCATCCTGGCTTGTATCAGGAATAGTGTGGCCAGCAGGACTACGGAAGTGATTGTGCCTCTGTACTCAGCACTGGTGAGGCTGCACCTCGAATACTGTGTTTTGGTCCCCTCACTACAAGACAGATGTCAGGGTGCTGGAGTGTGTCCAGAGAGGGGCAACAAAGCTGGTGAAGGGTCTGGAGAACAAGTCTTATGAGGAGCGGCTGAGGGAACTGGGATTATTTAGCCTGCAGAAAAGGAGGCTGAGGGGAGACCTTATTGCTCTCTCCAACTATCTGAAAGGAGGTTGTAGTGGGGTGGGGGTCAGTCTCTTCTCCCACGTAACAGGTGATAGGACGAGAAGACCTCAAGTTGCACCAGGGGAGATTTAGGATGGATATTAGAAAAAATTTCTTTACTGAAGGGGTTGTCGTGCATGGGAACAGGCTGCCAAGGGAAGTGGTTGAGCTGCCATCCCTGGAGGTATTTAAAAAACATGTAGATGTGGAGCTGAGGGACATGGTTTAGTGGTAACTTGGCAGTGAGTACTCCCTTCATCCCCAAACTAAGCACGGTCCATGAAAAGGTCATTCTTTTTTTCACTGAAGCTGGCTTCTCCAGCAGGAGTGAAATCTCTCATTAATGCTGAATGTTGGTCACAATTAGTTCAGTTGTTAGGCCACAACACGAGTGTGTGTATATGTGCATGCACGCGTAATGGATTGTTGCCTTTGCAGCAGATAGAGAGACCAGCTGGAGTTGAAATGTCGCAGCCTGTGTTGACATTTCTGAGGGAAAACAAATTGTGACAGGTGTGAATATTCCCTTGTTTCTGGTTTTATTCCAAAAACTCTGCTAATTTTGCAACACAAATGTAAATGTTATAGTCCCTATGCTGAAAAGTACATTTTGTTGGCAAAACTTGGAGTTGGGGGATTTATGATGTGAAAGTGAGCTCTCCTACAAACACCTTCTCCTCCTGAAAAAGCGTGTTATATGTATATGAGGAGGGGGGCCAATATATAGGTTTGATTTCCCTTTCTTCCCTTCCACCCCTTACCCGCCCCCACTCTCCCCGCTCTTTCAGCAGTTTAGCCCAGCTGCCTTTCTCTGTGTACCCTGTCCCCTGCCATCTCCTGTTCGTGTGAGCTTCAGACTCGGCTGTGAGCCCACTGCTGTAGCCAGCAACTATGAAGGAGTTAATCTACTGCTGCCTCTGCTCTCTGACTGTTGTTTTGACAAGTATCTCTGGTGATTTGAGTCCCTAACTGCTCCCTGTGCTTATAAAAGCAAGCAGCCAGGCTCCCACGTGTTTGCCCAAGGAGAGAACAGAAATTTGCCTTTTCCTTGGATAGCTTGTGCCTACACAGAGGCTTTTCTTCCAACTATTTCATTACTTGCATCGTCTGTGTTAACTTAAGAGCAGTGCTTGGGGGGAGGACTTTGGAGAAATCCCACTTTGGAAAAGGTTGTTCTGAGTTTTTGAGAAAGGAGAAATGGTTTTACGTTGTGTCTAGGTCAGTCAGCACAGAGGGGTGTTCAGGATAAGGAAGCCTTTGCTCAAAATGTAAACATAATGTGAAGATGTCCAAGTTCTTTTTGTGTGTGTTGTATAATAAGTTGTATGCTTGCCCATTTTAACTTAAGGCTTTTTATCTTCTTTTTCTCTTTTGTTCTGTTGGGACCTATAATGCTCACATGTCTTTCTGCTTACTCAGCTTTGCAAATGCAGCCAATCATTATCATAGATCACTGTTATTTTTGATGTTGTCTGCCTGACTTGTTTATTCCCCTCTTTCTTCTACCCTCTTCTCCTCCAAGGTGACAAAGAAAGCATCTTTATCTCACCTCAAAAATGAAAAGCATCAATTATATTGTTATTTTTTTCTTATTTAGAGTGCAAATTCCAATCAGTAAAAAGGGGTAAAGGAGAGGGGATCGAGTGCACCCTCAATAAGCTTGCAGATGACACTAAACTAGATGGGCGTGTTGATCTACTTGGGGGTAGGATGGCTCTAGAGAGGGATCTGGACAGGCTGGATCAATGGATTAGGCCAATGGTATGAGGTTGAACAAGGCCAAGTGCTGGGTCCTGCACTGTGGTCACAACAACCCCATGCAGCGCTACAGGCTTGGGGAAGAGTGGCTGGAAAGCTGCTTGTTGGAAAAGGACCTGGGGGTATTGGTTGACAGCTGGCTGAATATGAGCCAGCAGTGTGCCCAGGTGGCCAATAGCATCCTGGCTTGTATCAGGAATAGTGTGGCCAGCAGGACTACGGAAGTGATTGTGCCTCTGTACTCAGCACTGGTGAGGCTGCACCT